GGTAACTTTGTTCAAGGCTCTGTTATGAAGATCAAAAAGTTGTATGCCTTGCTTAGACCTCAAAGGCAAAAAGTTAATTGGAGAAGGTTGGTTTGTAATAATAGAGCTACCCTTAAGAGTGTTTTCATATTGTGGCTTGCTCTTTGAAACAGAATTGTTACAAAGGATAGACTATTGACATGGAATATTGCTTGTAACCTTGTATGCCTTCTTTGTTTGTAGAAAGCTAAAATAGTTCAACACTTGTTTTTTTAATGTGCTTATGCTCAGAAATTATGGAAAGCTGTTTTGAAGGTGCTGCATTGCAATAGACAAATTATGCAGTTTGCTGATGAAATCAAGTGGATAATGAAGAATTGTAGAGCCAAGAAAGGGCTGCAGCTTATGGCTTTTATTGAAACTGTTTACAACATTTGGATTCAAAGGAACTCAGTAATTTTTAAGGGTGTCTGTAAACCTGTTGAGGTTGCTGTTAGAGATATTATCTTTAATATGGCTTGTAGATGTAATGAGGCAGATTGTGTTATGCTGACTAGTTAGTTTACTGTCTGTTTTTTTGGTTTTGTTGTTTGGCCTTTTTGTCCAGTCCTGCTATTTATTATAGCTGAGTCTGGGAAGGTCTATGGTTTGTTCTTTGTTGTCCTGTTCCCTGTCTTTTTTCACCCTTTCTAGAATGTGGTTAGCAGATTTGGGGGCAGGCTCAGGTCCTATTACTAGGGTGAACCCTTCCTAGAAGGTGGCATCCTAGTTACAAGATCTAGTTTAGGGTTATGTGCCTGGTTCAGGCTGTGTAGTTTAGGGTTTACAACTTAGCTTTTTGTAAGTTGTATTTTCTTTTGCTCTTTTGGTAATAAAATTCAATTTACCAAAAACAAAAAGTCAGATGCATTAAACGAAGCTAATTAAATCAAATGAAAGTCAAACACATTAAAACAAAGCGTCTTGAATCAAAAGAAAGTCAAACACATACAAAAAAAAAATCTTTTCAATAGAATTAAAGTCAAATGCATTTAACAAATCTAATTGAATAAAATGAAAGTCAAACACATTCAACCAAATCATTTTATTATGATCGGTTTTCCTCACAGACACTATATTGCAGTTGTGACAGAAGCACAAATACCAAGATCGTTCAAAGAAGCGATGAGACATGAGGGTTGGAGAGATGTTATGGCAGCGGAAATTAAAGCATTAGAAGACCAAGGCACATGGACTCTAGAAACACTTCCTGCAGGGGAAAAAGCACTTGGAAGCAAGTGGGTTTACACTGAGAAGAGAGATGAGGCCGGTAATCTGCTAAGATTTAAAGCAAGACTTGTGGTGTTCGGTAATCATCAGGAAGAAGGGATCGATTACAATGAAACGTTTGCTCCAGTGGCAAAAATGTCTACGGTACGCATTTTCTTAGGAGTTGCAGCGATTAAAAATTGGGAGGTACAACAAATGGATGTGCACAATGCTTTCTTGCACGGTGATTTAGAGGAGGAGATCTATATGAAAGTACCGCCAGGTTTTCAAAAAGGAAATTCAGATAAAGTCTGCAAGATGAATAAGTCCTTGTACGGATTGAAGCAAGCTCCTAGATGCTGGTTTGAAAAATTGTCCACAGCTTTGAAGAAATATGGATTTAAACAGTCGTATTCCGATTATTCTCTATTCACTCTTTCGAAGGGTGCAATACAGTTGAGTGTCTTAGTTTATGTGGATGATATGATAATTGCAGGAAATAATACAGTTGCATTGGAGAGTTTTAAAGCATACATGTGTCAATGTTTTAAAATGAAAGATTTGGGTGCCTTAAAATATTTTCTAGGGCTAGAAGTGGCATGTAGTAAACATGGTTTTTATGTGTGTCAGCGTAAGTATGCTTTGGATATTATTTCTGAGACAGGGCTACTAGGAGCAAAGCCAGCAGATACTCCGATGGTTCAAAATCATAAACTTGCTTTAGCAGAGGGGAAGGAGCACGCAGATGGTGAACAATATAGGCGGTTGATTGGTCGTCTGATATACTTGGAAGGCCGGATTTGGCTTATTCGGTGCATATTCTATCACAATTTATGCAATGCCCAAAAGAGGAACATTGGGAAGCGGCATTGAGAGTAGTAAGATATTTGAAGAAATGTCCTGGTCAAGGCATTCTACTAAGGTCGGATAGTAGTCTCCAATTGGAAGGTTGGTGTGACTCGGATTGGGCAAGTTGTCCATTGACTCGTAGATCATTGACAGGTTGGTTTGTATTGCTTGGGTTATCTCCTGTGTCATGGAAGACTAAAAAGCAACCAACAGTGTCTACAAGTTCCACAGAGGCCGAGTATAGGTCAATGACAGGATTGCAATGTGAGTTGAAACACTTGAAACAAATACTTCGATCCTTGGGTGTAGAACATAAACAAGGTATGCACATGTACTGTGATAGTCAATCGGCACTTCATATTGCTAACAATCCGGTGTTTCATGAGAGGACAAAACACATTGAGGTAGATTGTCACTTTATTAGGGATGCAATTAAAGAAGGAGTGATTAAGCCATCGTATGTTTCCACGAAGATTCAATTGGCGGATATCTTTACAAAAGCCTTAGGAAAGGCGTAATTTGAGTTTTTACTTGGAAAGATGGGCATTCGAGATCTACATGCTCCATCTTGAGGGGGGATGTTAAAATAATAATTGGGAAATATTGTATAATATCTTTGGGTTTCCTAGTTATGTTAATATTCTATCTTATTCCTAATTATGTTAGGGTTAGGAATATATTTGTAACTATATATATATTCTTCATATGTGAATGAGAAGGTTGAGCAGTTCATATTATTTTGACAAAATCCTTCAAAAGTTACATACACTTAAATATGAATAATTCTCTTCAGCACCACAATTGTATCCACAAATACTATCCCACAAACACCGTGCACACTTGCATAGTTACATAGCCACAATGGTGAAAATGTTTTCGCTTTCCGAAAATTGACATGGGCAAAAAAGTCACAAACATTCCACAACATCCCATATCATCTTAACAACCAAAATATCAAACAATTTATTTTCCTTGACAAAACTGAAACAATAATAATATAAAAAAGCTTAACTCACTACTATCAAACCCACTAATTCAGTCCTCTAAACATAATCACAAGACAAGTCCTATGGCGGATCTTGACCGAAGATATGAGAGAGGCCGCGATTTAAATCTTTTGCCTCTCGCTTTAAACTAATCACTATATGTAAAATAAGGTTATTTAAATTTATTAACTAATTAATTACAATTATTTTTCAGGGCCGAGCCCAAATGGCCCCGGTGGAAAGTCTACCCCTAGACATGACATCCATATTACCAATACACAAACTAAACAACAACAATCAAGAAAACAATAACCCCAAATAAAATCTTCAAAGGCGATAACAAATTCGCAACATACCCGTCTTTGAACACGAGAAAGATTATCAGAAACAACCGAAGCATCCGGAGAAGAACCCAGAACAGCAATGGCAGCAGCTTGCTGTTCAATTGCGCAGCGTATCATAGCCATAACACGAACCCCAGCAGCAGACATGACCAAGAAAAAGGGGAGCAACTGGCTCCGACTGCAAGACTGGCTATGCCCACAAAAGAAGAGTGACCCACCAATGGCAATCACAGCAACATTGCTGATACCCAATGTTATGCTCGTCCATCTCAGATTTTTCACCAATTTCTTTGATGATGTACTCATTTTTGCCCGATTTCTCTCTCCTACCCTTTTAAGGCGTTTTCTCATTGCGTGAAATCGTACAAGATTTGATGGTACATTGATGGGAAATGATGGATATCGATCATTGTTGGATTTTCCTCTTACCCCACGCAAACGAAGAACAATTGTTCAATTTTCTGGGTTTCCTGTATTTCTAATTTCTGTTTTCTACGAAAAATATATCCTGACTCCCTGAGCACGGTGCACCTTCGTGTACAATGTAAATTGGTAAAATTCAATTGATAAATTATCTTTCACCAAAATTATTATGTTATTTCCATTTTTTTTTTTTAAACTAATTTTGATCTGGGTTAGTTTCTTTTAAACCCAATGGATCCGGTAAGTCTATAAGTCAAAAGATTCGATCATTTTAAAATAGGTCTAGATCAATGGAGTCGCATCCATTCACCATTTGCGATTTTCATTATTTTGGTAATTTATCTTCATAATAAAATTTTGTAGGTCGGAAAACATTGTCGATTACTTCAACAAATAATTGATTCAAATTGGTTAAACTAACAAAATGATTAGTTCACTAGGTTACAACATGTGCGATGCACGGTTTATATAAAGTCTATTTTTAATTTGTACATTTTAAAAATAAATCTCTATTATACATGAATATGAATAAAAATTACGTATATTTGGTAATTTTAAAATTTTTTATTTTAATCAAAATTATGATATTGTATATGTTCAACGTTGTCTAATACATAGTTCAATGTAGGAGATCATTTATTAGTGTGCTATTTAAAATTGTTTAATTTTCCTACGATAAATTGATAGGTTTTAATTGTAATGTAGACATCATTGCATATAGGCAGGAAATTTTTAATTGAGAAAGTGACACGTGGACAATGATGATGTCAGCAACTTCTGTTTTACTAATAGTTAATAGATTACAATTGTTGTAGTTATGTGTTAGATAATTTTCAAAATTAACATACTAGGATTTCAAATTATTATTATTTTTATTATTATTTATCTTGGTAGCTTGTAAGTACTTAATATTCCTCGGTGTTCCTACAATGAATCACCTTTACAGTTCCAACTGTTGCATAAGCATTATCAAGGTACGATGTGCACGAGTGTAGATTTCAAAACAGCTTGCCTATTCAACTTTTAAAGGAGAGTGGGAAGTTTACCTTCCTACATAAACTCAAGATGGTTGTGGTAGTTTCCTAATGGGCAATTAGTTAGTAATAAAAGTCTAATATTTCCCTCATGAGGCGAGATTTCTAACACTTTCCCTCTTTTTCATACCTTAATATAAACAAATAAAAAAGTAATAAAATTCTAATGTCGAAGTTTAACAAGCTATAATGAAGTCAAATAGATAGCCTAATAAGAGTCGCCAAAATTTTATATTCTCTAAAAAGGCTCATCCCTATTTTTCTACTAACACATACATGAACTTGAACCTAAGAAGACTAGTAGGAGAGTAAAAACGAAGCTTACAAATGGTAAACACTTACCACGTCTGGGGCTCCATCCTACTCCTTGCACACAAACTGGCTGCAATAAAAGTAGGAGTGGGCCCCACGTAATACATACGAAATAATACACGTCTATATAGCTATAGGATATGGTCCATATCTCATGACTCCTGGCACAATAATCACCTATGGCAAATACATTTGTAACGATATGCACTGTTCAAAGGGTCATTGCCATCAACAGGAATCTGTTCAGCCCGGCACCTGTATTTGCATCCTTTGCATTCATTATAGGTACATGTTGGTGCCGTCGATCCTATTAACATAGCCTTTGGCTTTTGGTCTTTGGATTTATCATGATCTCCCTATTGTCCACATGGTGATGTATTAATGAAAGAAGCAAAGCATAGAGATAAGATATAACGAATTGAAGAACACAAACAGAGTCTTTTTACCTGGAACTGTAATTTCCTAGCAGATAGATGTAATCTCGATGCTACTGTTTGACTCTCACTTGACGTTGAATGCAAGGCAATTACTGCACAGTTAATTGAGGATTTAGCAATTCACACCAATTATGATAAGCAAGCAGATAGACAAGCAAAGGAAAACTAACATTGCAAACCAATGCTCTTTTTTTTCAAAAAAATAACAAAGAAATATGAAGGACTGTGTATAAGAAAGCCTCACAACAGCAAGATAAGCAATGCAAGTAGAAATTCTAGATTGCCACCCTCTAGGAGAGATCCAAGTCACCCAACAAAGACCATATATGTACTTCACACTAGATCAAATACAAATGCATAAAAAAAATTCTTTTAACTATACAGCAAAAACAAAGACTTGGAATCTTTATCATTTCAAAATTAAAACCAATGCATCACAATATAATCAGCCCTGAACCTGTCCTCCAATATAGGAGAGATGGAGTTTTAAAAACTTTAAGTTTGTATTCACTTTAAAAACATTACATAGGAGGGTTACATTTATTTACAAGAGTTTTAGCTTATAGATAAGTAGCATTTACAAGTTAACATTAGAGTTGATAAGTCAGCAGTATAAGAAACAATGCTCAAAGCTCTAACTGCATCATACGATACATGATAAATGCAAGTATAAGAAAAATTATACAATAAGAACTCTAATCCAATGATAGACAACTATAACTAACACTATGTTTGGATAGAAAATATTAAGGGAAAGGAGGGAGGGAAGTATAAAGAAGGGGGAGGAAAGAAAGGGTAGGGAGAGAGTGAACTTCTGTTTTCTTTCCAAATCTTTCCAATATTGTAGGATTTGGTTTAAATAATGAGAAGGAAAATGTATCATTCCAATTCCCTCCCCTTCCCTCCTTCCATATGCTATCCAAATACGGGATGATAGCAATTAGTAATAATGTTTGCATGATATTATATGGGCTTACAGTGCTCCTAGCTACAATCACCAACAATTGCTAAACAGTCACATAACAACAGAATCATGCTTGATATAACTATAAAGGTCATTGAACCAAAGATTTTTAAAACCTAATGGATGCACACAATTGTTTTATTTGGGGAAAAAAGTTATTTTAAATCCTTGATTTTTTTTTCATGGACTGTTTCCTTGCCTGTAGTGTACCATTTGTAATGAATAAAAAACTATAACTTTTAAAAATTTCCTTTTATTAGCTCTTCAGGTCATCATGCTAAGACATAAACAGAGTGATGGTTACATACTTTTAACATTGTGATAAGCCGGATAACTATGGAATACCTAAATATGGTCTTTAAAATGCCTGTTTGATGACTAAGGGCCAACTGGATCGAACTCTTTGGTATTTAAAAGGTAAGACACCGACCACCTTACCTCTGTCGGAGGAGGAACTTTTAGCAATTTTAGTCATTAAGAAAGATAATATCCAAAGTTTTGTTAACTACGTACCTTTAGCAATTCGACAAAAAGATGGGTGCATATGAAATTGAAATTGGGAACTGAAAACTAAAAAAGACTAGTAAAGACTGTACTTTGAGAGAAGCATATGCATAATTCCGAGTAAATGCCAATAAAACTAACTATATCCATACAGTATTCATAAGATGGTATTAACAACTAGATTAAGACATGATTACATAAAAAATTAGTAAATTACAAAAGATTCTTTAATTATTTCAGCAAATCTATTATTGCTGTCTACTCGGCACACCTTGCTAACTGAAAGAACAATAAAGTCTTAATGGTCTAATTTTTTCTCGGCTGAAGCTTGGTTGGAAAATGAGATTTAAGAAAAAATAGAAAAAGGTATAAGCCTTGAATCCTTGAGGTACACTATTGTTGAGAGAAAGAGGTACAAAGTATACAAGTTGCAACTTCCCTAAAATGTGCAGTTGTTTGCATTATTAAAAACGAGTCAAAAACTTTGGAAAGAATTAGAAATCCTTTTACTGAAAATCAAACCAAAGACAGACAATTTCCAAGAGAATCAAACACCAAATCAGTTTAATAGAGTAAACCACATTATTGAGAAACTCATTGATAAATGGGTGAAACAAAGAAGTCATAAAAACAATGATAGCAGAAGCAGAACAAAACTTCTCTGACTTCAATGAACAAAGAAAACAAAAAAATGCAGCATTACACATCGTTAAAACACACTGCATACAGAAACAAAGTAAAAATTTTGACCTGAATCAAAGAGGAGTGACGCAATCAAAACCGTCATGAAGACTGAAACCACGACGTTAGCTTGTTCACCCCCGAGCACTGTTGCTGCCATATTTTCACACGCTAACTTAAACTAATCTAATCCTCTAGACAAAGGATGATTATGGCGGAGGATGAGCAAAAGAGGATGCACATATAAAAAGATAACAACGATAAATCTTGGGTGAATAATGACCATTGATCCCATAGCTATAGCAAATGCTGATAATAATAATAGATAAACAAAACAACGAAACACGAATACATACATACGAGGTCCCCCCGGTCCTCCCCGGAAACTGACAAAGGTGGGGGTCTCTCTCCATTCATACTACCAACTAGCAAGTGAAACTCATCATCTATGTAACTAAATTTGAGCTCAATGAACACGCGTTATTCTGATTAATGCATAATTACAAAAATTCAGACAGCATCTTCAGTCTTGTTAATTATTTTGGACCCCAGTTTTTCCCTGTCATTCGGATCCAAAATTTTGCAGCAAATTTGGGGCCCATGAATGTGCGATTGATTATTCTGGAAGTTCATTCAAAGTTCAACGATAATTCATTCATTCTGACACGTTGTACTGCCGTTTTCTTCATAATTGAGCTGATTAAACTTCAATTATAGGATTTCAAAGCGAAAACCCTAAATTTAAAATCACAAATTTACACCTTATAAATTAAAATATATCTGAATGTAATTATAACAAATTAGACTGTAAATGTGGAAGATTTGAGCAAAGTAAACTTCACGGAAGGGATTTCAAACATAAACCCTAAATTAAAATTTACAAATTCGATAATGCCTTACAAAATTGGAAACAATGGGATGCAATTTTAACAAATTCGGCGTAATATTCGAGATTTGAATTGGAACTATGTAGAAACTGTAAATTTAGAATGTGATTGAATTGGAAGCAAAATTGAAGAAGAAAGACCTAGAAATTTACCTTGGTGCAGTCGAGTTTAGCGGTGAATTTCGAGTTCGATGAAGCTAAAATGATCATCGATTCTGATAGCGGACAAGAGCTAGCGGGGGAGGCTACATGTTTGAATGTTTGAATTTTTCAATCTCAAATTCTCAATTGTTTATTATATTAATAAATAAATACGAAATAAAAATAATAAGGTATTGTTTGGTTGACATAGAAATTACTGAGTACTTTGTAAATTCTCAATGGAAATTCATTTTATGGGAAGATTTTTTTGTTGTTCACTAATGGCTGATACACATACAACTGTTTGCCTCATCACCATATAAAGAGCCTAAGTTGCTCTTGATGATAAATTTTTTTGTAGTTTTTTGTTTATCTCAATGGCATTTATGTTAATATGTTCAAAATTGTTATGCCACATAAGAACATCCAAAAGCTTGTACTATTGACGGAGTTTAAAACGAATCACCCAACCTAGATCTTCTTCTTCCTCTTGCTAATTGTTATGGGTCATTTTGTACGACTGTTGACCGACATTGACAACCAAGACTAAAATACACAAGACAAAGTCAAGATAGTTATAGGTGCTCCCTAAAGTCATGGAGATAATATCTACCACTAAGAACAAGTCAATGAAGCCAGTGCATGTATGTGTACTCAAAGCTGTCTACATCCATTAGAAGACCAAGCAAAGGAATTAACCGCCGCTCCAACTTTTATGGAGGACACCTCTCACTACTCTCCAACAACCTATCCAAAGCCTTATAAATAGAAAAGTCTTCCTCCCCTAAACTCTATACACATCCCCACATAACTAACCCTCTATACAATTACATACGAATGATTATCTAAGCCTAAGCCTCCCCACTCCCCCTATTGCTTATACGGAAATATTCTCATGAGCTTAGTCCACATATATACTCCATTACAAAAGCCATACCAGCCATGTAGCCTTATTACTCCTATGCTATGATACCTATTCTTATTAACCAATAATCCATTTGCACAACTCACCAACTTTGCTACTATATTTTAATCCTCAAGTACAACTACAAATACTAGTATAAGCTTCTACCAATGTCACTCTAAGTATCCTCATGCTTGACTATGAAAGATATGTATTACGTCTTCTAATACCCCGTATTTTCATACGTATTTTTCTAATTAATTAATTAGGAATTATTTTATAAAAAGAGTATTTTAGTAAATTTATTATTTGGAGCCAAAATAATATTTGAATTTTGACGCCAAAAGTATTTTGAAAACTAATCATTATTTTGGATAAGATTTATTATCCATTTATCCTATTTTAAAAACCGGATTATTTATATTTCAGATATTTTAATTAAGGCAAAAGCTATATTTTATTATTATTTTAATAGGTCCAAAAATCCCAATTAATTAGCTAATAATTTCGGATTTTCCTATGTGAAAATCTGATTTTTATTTAGTTAAATTATTTGGTGAATATTTAGTATTTTATTATTTAATTATTTATTACAATAAATATTATTTACACAATTATTTTTAATTCCTTAAAACTAGCAAAATATATTCCTAAATACTAAATAGGAGGCCGAAAATATGAGATTAGGAAAGCTCAAAAATTTCGGCCATCCCATGAAGATTTTGGGAAAATATTTTGGTAATTTGTATTTTCAATTATCTTCTTAAAATCTCCTATTTTCCATAATTCTAATTCTCCATCTTTTTGATATCCAATTATTATATTTTTTTGCCATTCATTCTTCTTAATTATTCCCAAGCAATCCCAATTTCCTTAATATTTTTCATGACATACATACCTTCCATATTCAATTATACACAATCCCTTCAAATATCAAAACTTTCCTTAAATCTTTGCTCACTTCTCCAAGTAATCTCTTAAACCCTAATTACCATAATTCTTCTTACATTTTCCTACCATAATTCATGCTCATACTAGCCTATAAATACCCCTTCATACCTCTCACATTCTTCACACCAATTCTCTTCTTTTCTTCTCCTCAATTTTACACAAATCATCCCGTTCATCTTTGAATCCAATTTTCGGGCACTTTTAGTCGGTTTTTGGGGTAATAACGTTTCACATAAAGTTGTTCTTATCAAAAAATCCTTGAGGTTAGGCTCAAGAATTACCCAATTCGAAGTTATATCAAAGGAGTTATAGCCTCTGAAAGTTCTGCCTATTATTTCCTAAGCAAATCCAATTATTTTCTTCTCCTTTTCTTTTATTCAATTATTATTATTATTATTATTATTATTATTATTATTATTATTATTATTATTATTATTATTATTATTATTATGGGAGATTAATATGAAATTATTATGAGTAGTTTTAATTATATAAAATCAGATTTTAATAATGTTCATGTTGAATTAATTTAAGAGGTTCATGTACATATAGTTGAGAGGGTTTAATTTAATTATTTGTGATTATTTGTTAACCTTATATTGATTAAGATTATATTTAATTGTAGGGTGTTTTTGATCAAGCTACTTGAGAGTTCTTTTGAAGTGTTGTTGGCTAAGTGAAGATCAAGGTACGTTAGGTGGCTAGATACCTTGAAAGTGATCGATTTGAATGAAAATGTTTGAATGATTTTATGATGAATTGAATTAAATTGAATTGAATTATGGTTTATGAATTAAAAGTATGTTTAAAAGGTTGGTTTTAATGATTGAATTGGAGTATTGATTTTTATAACATGTTTTGATTAATTAATTTATTATTCATGTTTAAAAAGGATTGATTTTGAAAGTAAGTTGGATTTATGGAAAAGGAGTTTGGATTGTTTTCATTAAAGGTTGAATTATTGGATTTAAAAGAGGATTTATTGAATCATGGATTTATTATTATTTATGCTTTATAAGCATGTTGGCAATCCCACTATGCGGATTTAAGGCCTTGGATTTTGCATGACCGGGTCTTTTCTCAAGAATAGTCTTGTAACATAAGGAGACTAGCTTGGAGGGTGTGCACACTTGGGAGAGGAATTGGTTTTAATATGAGGAATTGGTTTTTAAATAATTGGAATTGGTTTTATTGATTATTGATATTGAAATTATTGAGAATTGGTTTTAAACCATGAGTTTGGAATTATTGGATTATTTATTGGAAATTGGTTTTAAAGCATGTTTGCGAATAAATTGAGTTTAATTATCTTGCACTTACCGTACTTATCATATTTTGCTAATTCGTACTTCTTATTTGTTTTGGTTCGCCCTGTTTACCGTAATGGTAAGCAGTGTTGCTTATTTCAGGTTGGAGTCAATAAATGATGCATTGGAGTCCCGGGATTGGTTTTCACTAAATTAGGAATTTGGTCTTGTATCTATTTTGAGTACTCATAACATTGGTTACTATTATGGTTATTATTAATAAAGAAGAGTATTTGAGTTTCCGCTGCACTAGTAAGTTGAGTAGCCTTGCGTAATCACGCGGCGGTAATACGCCTAAGTCTATCTCTACGGTATAATTATACGGATAATACTAGTATTTCCGTAGAGGGAGATTTGGGGGTGTTTCACGTCTACTCGTATTTATCTACATCATACTTTTTATATATCAAATGTACAATGTAGTTGTAATCATTAGCTTTATCACTTTATGCTATATTATAGTGGATTGGTGGACTCATTGCCACCCGCAGCTTTAACCCATTTTAATTGGGGTTTTTCGCGTCACCAAATCATGTCTCCTCTCTCACTCTTTATTTTTCTGTCATTTGCTTTTCACATTTAACGTTCGTGATTTTAATATAGTTGATTTGTAGCTCCTATCCCACATCATATCCTAAGTCCAAAATTTAGCATAAACATTTTGGCGCGGTCTATAGGAATACAAATTGATTAAAATCTCATCCCCACAAAAAATCCCTCAAAACACACTCAAATCCATATCTATCATCAAGCTACATCTACTTCCATTCATAGTGATATCGACCATTTAAAAATTATTTGTCATCTCGACATTATGATAGCCATCATCGACAAAAGTCACCGGTGGCGAGATAGTGATCGTCGACCAAGTGATAGCTTAAATAATATAGGGTCTCTAGCCATATTGGCGTCGTCGTCAATTCGACACCAATTACTGTCAATTAGTAATCGTCCTCGTTGATGGAGATAAGCTAAGTGATGTCATAGTTGAAAGGAATGGTGTCCTTCGAACAAGTGTACTATTCCGTTAGTGGGTTCAGAATTATTAGAAAGCTAATATATTCAGTAAGGTCAAGTGATCGGAATGCCTATATTAATACTATAGCTTAATCTTGATTGAACCCTTCGGGTCACACCCTTAGCAGTAAACAAACCGAATCGACGAATTAATTCGAAAGAAATTAATTCGTCGCCCGAGTATTAAATATTTAGACGTCGGTAATTTGAGCTTGGAGCGTCGAAACCGAGCGTTGGAGAATCTCAAATGTCGAGCCAAAATTTAGGATT